CCGCACGGCAAGCTCGGCTCGTTTGCATGCGACATGCGTTCGCGATACGCTTTACTTAAGAGATTACGTGAGAACTTGGCGATCCCATACGACACCGTTCGATCGACGTGGAATGTTTGAAAAGTACCAACATCTGAGCACTCTAATAACCTTATTACCTAACTCTGGACATTCTTATTGTTTTGCTTTTATAAACTTTCGGCGTATAGAATACATATTCAACATATGTATGTGTGTATTATATTGAAAGTTTAAGTAAAAAGTGAAACAATAAAAATGTTGAGAGATAGTTGTTACTCTCTAAAGTGAAATCAGTAAAATCTCAGTTAAAATAGTAGCGTCTATTCCCATTATTGATGCACTTTGCAAATACGGACAGTGTCATTGCATTGTTAATTCCATCATCACAAAACGCAGAAAGTTGAATTTGATATAACGTATGTACAACAAATTTGTATATTACAAATTTTGCAGTAAAATCTTACTTCCACTGGTCAAAATCAATGAGAGATAAACAGTAAAACAGAAGTGTTTCCACTGAAAATTAATGAATATTCACGAGACATCCTTTTACTGATTTACTTTAAGTGCACCCATGCATTGATACTTTTACCTTAAACGCTTCAGTTAAATGAAAAGCGATAAATGCGAGTCGTCCGCTTCGACGGCGACTCTTGTGGGATAATTGATGATCAACAATTTGACGACGTTAACGGAGCGATCGCGTTGACTACGGAAGTTGATTCTTCTATTTTTCGCTCTTCTTTTTGTTATTTTAATACGATCCTCGTGGCGTCCGGAGTGATCGTCAATTAGCCACACTGCTGTATTATACGCGCGAATCGACTTGACTCAATAATATATTTATAACTTTAACCTTTCGATAGGGAGTAACACACATAAAGAGAGAAGAAGAGAGAAGCGCGAAACAAAATATAAAATATACAAGTCTTATACGTAAAGCTCGCGAACGAACCTTAGCAGCGTATCTCTCTTGATGAATCTGCAAGCTACTTTTACTTTTGGCAAAAATTCGCACCCAAACGCTGTTACAAAGTTATTTGGCATCGGAAATTAAGGAATCTCGGACAGAGCCGCACAGAAATGCAAACAGGTGACGAAACTTTGTTCTTTAGTTAATCTTAAGTGACTTCCGCTTTAATCGGATCCCAACATTCCCCCTCGGGACTTTTCTGCCGAAATATCCAACGTTGAAAATCCCAAAGAGTTACCAAAAGAGACGGAAACCTCGGGGCTATAGAACTCTGACAGGAGTAAAAATCAGAAATAGTTTGGGGAGTTGTAAAAAGTTGTAAATTAATAAAAGTATCAATTTTTCGTTATATATGTGCGCTATCGAGAACATTTAACAATATCTTGATATAAAAGAATTAAAGAATTAAAGAAGAATGATAAAATATTAAACGGGTTATTGTCGGAATAGCATTTTTTTTAACTGTAAGCACTTGAGAATGGTTTATTCGATTAATCTAATAATTGACACAAATGTTTATCGTAATTGTCTATATCGGTTCACGGAAGCTTTCCGCAAATTTCAATTTCTGCCATTCCTCACTTATTTCACAGCTTCGAATGTTTCAGTGAAAAAAATTAAATATAATTTTTTTATAAATTCCATTTTGTGAAATGTCGCTTTTCTCAACATCTGCTCCGATAATCTGAGCCAATAACTGTAACTCTGATGAATAAAAAAAATGTATTAACACTGATTTCAGATCACTCCTCTTGAGACCATAATGGTTGCAGTCGAAGCAAGACTCTTTTGCAAAACAGATTTGAAATAATGTTAAAATTCACCGTAAATCTAATTTTTCTATAGCGATATATTGCTACATGTATTTAATAGAAACATGCATAACAAGAAATTCCTATCAATTTGCAACCTTTACACGGTTTCCCAAAATTTGAAACCTAATTTTTACTCCTACTAAAGTTCTGTAACTTGTTAACCAGAGACACGCAGACTAATAAAGTTCAACGAGAACTTTGCGAAATGGGACCCTCTTGATTATTCGTCATTCTTTACTTCGAGAAAAAGTTGGAGCAGAGTGTCGTTACAATATCATTTGTACAGCTCGTACGTATCGCGCGCAGCTCGACGCGAACGGCACGAGGCGCTTTGGCGTGATGGATCGCCGTGGCATTTTCGCTAGACACTGTCTCAAGGCGACAGTCGTGTAATCCGTAGAAAATCGAATTACACGGAAGCCAGCTACAGAGCAGCGTATCGAAGTGCACGCGCTTCTCTGCTCTACACCGAAATAAAAACGCAAGCCCCGTACGCGGTCTCGAATCTTATCCTGAAGACTTTCCTGGAGTTACGTGGGATAACTTGGACTTCCGTGCGAGAATAACTTGGCGGCATTGTAGTCCCGCAGCGCGTTATTACTTTACAACTTATCCGCTTGCCGAGATTGCGAGAATTCGAAATAACGGACGGGAGAAAGGGAGTTGGAAGGACTTGTGTTGGCGAAGTTATTCGGATAACTCGACGACGGGTGCGTTTATCGCGCGATCGTGGGGCTTCTCTTAGCACGTACGATGTATAATGATTTGGATCGAACGGGCGATACCTCCCGCTATAATGAAATCAGCGTAATTCAATCGAGCGTATCGAATAATCGAGCGAGCGAACTCGTCGACGTGCTGGATGCACCGCCCTACGTATGCGTATCGAATAAAATGCAATAACTTACGATAAAATTGTTACAAGAGCTGATGGGGCTAATTCGCGAGTCGGTGATATAATGACGGAGCGCGAAATTAATTGCACTTGGAACAATATCCATCAAACGTGCCAGAGCCGGGACGTGATTTACATTTTATCTAGATTACACCACACATGCAACGTTGTGTGCGCGACAGTTTATTCATGAGTGGAACAACGTGTTAAAACGGTGTTTAACTTTTTCTACCATTTCGAAACGCTATTTATCATCAGATCAGACGACTGATTAAAAATCTGGAAGAGATCGCGCGATTTTTTCTCAGCGAATTCTCTATTTCGTCCCCAAGATTATCTCTCGAAAATTGAATCTCAACACGGAGAGAATATTATAGCTTTTATACCACATAAATTCTTTTCAATTTTCTGCACTGAGAAAAAGGATACTTATTCGGTGAGTATTAATAATATATAAAGCTTAAATTTATTTTATATATTATATTTATTTTATTTTATTGTACACACAAAAGTGCACATTTTCTTATTTGGAAAATTTCTTTATTTCTTAAATTTCTTAGATATCTTAGATATCTTTTTTCTCAGTACAAGAATAGATTGTCAGCAAGACTATTCTACTATCCTTACTAGCTAAAGAATTTGATAAATTTCGTATTTGATAAATAGAAACATAGCAAATTTTTAATAGCACATTCTTAAAATATATAAACAGCACATGTGAAAAATGAAGGGATAGTCAATTACTGCAGAGTGTCGTTCAAGCAACGATTACAACATTCTGCAGTAATTTTCACTATAAAATCCTTTCGGTGAAATTAAATGTGTTAAGATCGCAAGTTAACCACGTATATGAGAAGAATATTTATAAAATACTTGAAATATAAAAACGACCGACGCATTGTAAATATCATTACGTCAACTTTTCATTGTTCTTTTCGCCTCGGCCGGAAATTAGACGTCCTCAAGATCCTCTTGAGATTTATTTTCACGTGGAAACCAACGGGCTACGCAACGCGACTAGACAAGAAAAAAGTTTATTAGAACTTGTCACGGTTTGCCCGAGACGGTCTCTAAGAAATTAGAGTCCACCGAGAAATAGTTAACGAGCGACTCGCTGTACGGTTAAATGGCGCAAAAACATGCGTTTCGATCCCATAATCCGAAATGTAATCTACCCGCCCTCTCTCTTCATCCCTCTATCCCTGTCCAGGGACACGGATATTTTCTGCCACTTCGACGCACATTCGATCGATCGACGTCTCTTCGGGTACGACTATACAACATGCCTGTCCGGAAAAGGACAAACGCGCCGATTTTATGTATCGACATGACGACGAAATAAATGTTTGCACAACTCTTTACCCGTTCAAGTTACCCGAAGGAAAAATGTCAAAATTATTTATCCGAATAAATATTTATATCAACATCAACAACTAGATACAGCATTTGGTAAGTAAAGTATCTTTCATATAACGACTCTTAAAAGAAATATAATATTTATATAAATATATAAAGTGATATAACAAAGAAATACGAGCGAGATGTAAAGAATGAGAAAATTGTCAAAGGCACTGAAGCGATAGAAGTGAAGCGCGATTCCTTATTCCACTTGTATCCTCTCTTTTTTTCGCTTTTTGAATTCCAATATCGCGCGTCATCCGCGCTCGATCTCCAATATTCATCGATACCGTACAATATGGTGGTTGTGTGAGCATACATTAAAAGGAATCACGCGAATATTGGTTCAACGATGTAAATCGGGATAAGAAGAGAAAAAGAGAGTCTCAACGTTATGAAACTTAAAAAACACGTCGCGAAATTTGGCAAAACAGTTGAAATAAAAAAAATTGTTTTCAGTGAAACATTTCAATTGCCATTGTTTGTGATATCCCGAATATTTTTGTTCATTGATCACCGTGACGGCGACGTTTTCCCTTTTTTAATGTAATTTAATGCTGGAGATGTATAAGCGGTGATCACACAGGTCTGACTAAAGCGATCTGCATCTACTTGCGATGCTCGCCACGTATACGCCGTTATCGTGTCACGCACAGATCATTCGTCATTTCGCCTCCAAACGCCTATTTCAATCAAGTCCCAAGACTCGTCGTCGATATCGATTAGTGACCTTAATTTAATTACTCCCTAATGACGCATTTGAAAACAGCGTAATATTATCGTGCAGATGCGAGCGTGGGGTGATTTTTGCCGCTTTCACCATTCGAAGGACGAGGCGGCCGAGCTAATGTGTATGAAATTGATGGGAATAAAATCCGCAAGAATAATATTGACTCACCGATATTTGGATGTTGAAGTTTTCTACATATCCGCGCTTCACGCTCGAGCTTCTGGAAATCTGCAACAGTAAACAGTGCGCGTTAGTAAGTAATTCCACTTAAAATCAATCAACAAAACTGACGTACGATTTTAGATATATTCGTAAGAGAAGATATATTTCTTTTGCCCTAATTGCTGAGAAGCGGCCCTGAGAAAACGTCCCGATCCCGTAAAGTTAATTGTGCGGGTTTGCGGCGAGAACGACCGATTGTGGACACCGTGATGGGATCGAATTTCGCAATGAGGTCCCTCAACGAGTTTTCCCAGAGTTAATTCACTAAGAGGCAAATTGCATTTACGGACGAATCATTTTGAGGATTATTTCCCGTTGCCCTCTTACGTACGCCGCGTGACCGACGCGATCGATTCGTCCTTCGTAATATTTAATGGCCGTTTGATTAAAATAGCTCGAGACGGAACGTCCTGACAATGAATATCTCAACAGCAATAAGAGAGTGCCAGAAATGTGATGAAATCGTCGGGCCAATTTTTCTCGGATTATACCTCGCAACTCCCAACTTGGGGAAGATAAGATGTGTAAACATTCGAAATGCAAAAGAGATTATCATTTTTGTATTATTCACGCTTCGTACACTATTTGTACATTTGTGCGATCAATAATACTATTATTATTATTATTATTATTACGTCTCTTAAGGACAATCGTCGCGCTTGTCACGCAACACGGGAATTATCGTAATAATGTTTTTCCAGTGTTTTCAGAGATCTTTATCGCGGATTGAAGGAATGGGTAGAAAAAGTCTTAAAATGCCGGAAACGACCGTCGCACGTGAACTAGGCAAATTGGCGAGCAAAAGTTCCCGCAGAAGGCTCCCTCTCGTTTTTCCGCGAGCACGAAAAAAAACTGGGTTGCGCGACGAAGGGTGAGTTTTCTCGCCGCAATATGCCAAGGAATTTCCCTCGTCGTTTACGAGCCACGCAAGAGATAATCATCGCTGGGTGAGAAGGGAAAGAAAAAGACGTCACGCATATATCCGGAAATACTACCGAATGAATTTCTTTCCTGTTGTCGGCTTGCAACAACAACCGGAAATGATTAACGCCGGTGCTACCGGCATGACTCAAACATCCTAGCAGAGGCGATCGCGCATACATATGTAGATTAACAAAACGATCGCGACAAGTATATAATATCGAGTTCCGCACGTTTTATAGCAAATTATTTTTCCTCCTTGTTTCTTTTTGCAAATCCCACGAGGCTGATAAAGCCTATCCCTGATCGCGAGCGGACGCATTAATCGTATTGCGTGCCGAATGAGATAGACCTGTGAAGTCGTTGAATTGTTTAAACGGCTACAACGTGTGTTGTGCGAAATAAAATATTCATTCAAATACGCAATTTCTCATTTCTCCTCTCCGTTTCGTCATCGATAACCTCGCGGCGCTGTCGATAATACGACCCGGTTACATTCCCAATGATATTATTCCCAATTTGAAGATGTGCCTTTTTCGAATCATGTTTGACTTGATGTTTGAGAAGAATATAAAGATTCAACCTGCTCCTTTCGTGACTTTCGTAAATTGACAAACGAAGAGTTACAAATAGCCATGAAATCTATGGAGATTGACATGATTTTCTGGCAAAATCATATTTTCTTGGCATATTCAATGAAACTCAAGTATCAGCCGACGGATTTCAGCGGCGTTTATCCCGCATCCGGCCACGTAGGCGCAAGTTGTAACTCGATTACGCGCTGACAGTCGCGTGACGCAACATTCGCGAGACAACGATTATCTCGCGTCCTCAGGAGTTTGTAGTCGACAACGTTGAAATTTCATTCTTCTCCCCGAGCTACCTATTAAATTCCAATCGTACGTTTTCGTACGATTCAGATGAAATAAAATGGAGTTTACGCGAAACCTGTCACTGTGATCCTCTCTTCCTTCCTTATTTCCATCCGCCTACGCGCTTCTATTTTCTCTCTCTCTCTCTCTCTCCATCTTTTCTGATTTCCTTGAAAGCTGTTATAACGTCTCAAGGCACATATAAAGCGAGCTCGACTTGCGTGAAAAAAACCGACTCGTGTAACACAGACTTATATAACGTGACCTTTTGAATTCGTGAACGTCTCCAGAGGGAAGAATACGCCTTGCGAACGAGTGCTCGTCGTCCGACAACAATGTCGACGGCATCAATTTTCACTCGCGATGAAACGCGAAGGATCGCCAATTTAACGCGAGTGCCATACAAATGCACTTGCTCTCACAAAGGGGATCGTTTATCGCCTAGTATTCGGTGAGCGTAGCCCGTTAATCGATAAAGGCGTGTCGGGATAACAGCCCTTACGATCACCTTCACCCACCCGATAATTAACGCGCGCGCGCGCAATCTATATAAAAATAAAAATATCTATAAAAAAGATAAAAATGCGAGAAGGTTGCAGGACGCACACACAAGCACGTATACACTCTACCGCGTGCAAACACACGCGCTGCGCGAAACAAATCATTTCCAGCAGACTACGCAGCCGCCGAGCTCGCTGGAAGAATGCGTTTTCTTATTTTTATCCTGTTATAGAATATGCGCGAGTATCTGTGCATATCTCCACGTGCATATCTTCTCATAAAAGTTACCCGTGTCTACACGAGCGGCCGAATCAATTTGTATCGATAATCCGGATATGCCGTGCGAATCAATGTGACATTTGGACAAACGGAAGATTCGTTACGTCACGTCACAGTTTTCATATCCGGCAGTTAACTCGACGAGTAATTTATGGAAAATTAGGAAATGCAACGAGCAGGGAAAGACGTGTCCTCGAAACGCTCGCGCGTAGCTTGTGCATCGTTCAAGGGTTAATTTCCTTTTCCGTCGCAAGGCCGATCCTTGGGAAGCGTCCAGCCGGTGCACGCACGCCTTCCCGTCCGATGGAGCACGAATGTCACGAAAGCGTCGGTAATAAAAACCGTGTCGCGCTTATGCGAGTAGATCGCGAGCCGGTCGACCCGCTTCTGCAGAGAAAGTACGGGGCAACCCTTGATCCATCGTGCGTGATAAGGCTATCGGGGTAACGCATTTTTTCCTCCCGATCCGGCCGACAGTGATGGTGTGTCCCATTATAGGTACCGCGAGGGATAGAAGGAACGGCCTCCTTCATTGACACACACGCGGAAAGCGCATCTCTCTGTGTCTCGTTACAACATGGAGTGTGCGCGTCAGTCTCTCTCTCTCTCTCTCTCTCTCTCTCTCTCTCTCTCTCTCTCTCTCTCTCTCTCTCTCT